CTCTGGCCACTGTTGAGTTTTCCAAACTTGCTGGCATATTGAATGTAGCACCTTAACAGCACGACTAAACGACTAAAACGAAATGATCCGATTACAACTTTTCCCACTCTTTTGTTGACTATGAGGACTACGCCATTCCTTCTACAGGATTCTTGCCCACAATAATAGATATGATAATCATCTGAGCTGAATTCGCCCATTCGTGTCCATTTTAGTTTACTGATGCCCAGGATGTTGATGTTTATTCTTGCAATTTCCTGTTTGACCACCTCCAAGTTACCAGGGTTCATAGATCTTACATTCCAGGTTCCTTTTGACCTGAGAGGCCCATCTTCCAGCGTCATATCTTTTAGCCTTTTGTTTCTGATCATGGGGCGTTCTTGGGAAAGATACTGGAGTGGCATTGTCATTTCCTACTCCAGGTGGATCGCGTTTAGTCAGAACTCTCCACTATGTCCTGTCCGTCTTGGGTGTCCCTGCACGGCATAGCCCATAGCTTCTCTCAGTTACTCAAGCCCCTTCGCCACGACAAGGCAGCAATCCATGAAGGGGATTATGATGTTAGGGTCAGTTATTTATATAACAATGACAGGGCATTCTGCTTTTTAAAATATAGCTTTTCTCCTAATCTCTTTTTCTTATACTTTTTTTGTTTTGGTTTCCACACTATAATCCCAACTGAAAGCAAATCTGTTGAGTGTCGGTTTGACATTCCAGACTCTATTTGAGCTCACTGCATTGATGAAATATAGCAATACAGTATGTGGAAACACTTGTATAGGCTGGGGTCATAGTCATTGCTTTATTTTCCTCTTTTCATAGAGGTCTTCTGTCTGCCAAGATATCTTTGGGAAATTTCGAAAGATCAATCTGCTAAAAACATTCTAGACCAAACACTGTTTTTGTTTCTGTTTTAGGGATGTTTATCAGGGAAGCTTAGCAGCTTGAGTAAATGGTTAAAAAAATAAAACAGGGAAAAGCAACTGATACAAGAATTCTCCATAGCAGGGTGACAACCCTGTTTTCCTCCAGATGTTGTTGGACTACAGCTCCCATAATTCCTGATCTTCAGGCATGTTAACTGGAATACAACTTCCATTTCAGGAATTCCCGTCATTTTAATAGCTCTTTAAAGTTCTTTTAAAAAAAGCAGTTACACATTTTAAAATTTTATTTATTTTTAATCCTTTTATCATTAGCAATCTTGAGTCCTGATTTTTAGGGGAAAGGTAAGATGTAAATCTAATAAATAAATAAATAAGCAAGCAACTTAAATAACAAATAAATAATAATAAGTAAACAAAATCTGGGAGGGTGATGTCAACTTTCCTCCCCTCTTTTAAAAGTATTCAAAATACGTGCAATTTATGTGTGACATCCATCAGCACACAGGTGAACTTCAACTTGTGCAGTGAATCTTTAACTTCTTCTCTCCTCCTTTCATGGATCAGCTCAGAAGGGTCTTCCAGCCTTGTAGAGCTGATCAGGGGTCCGAGAGATGTAAGATCCAACCCAAAGCCATCAGTAATGACTGCTTCATAAAAATGAGTTTGGAAAGAGCTAATATTGCCAGCATTTTTCAGTTATCATGACCATGCTAATTGGAGGATTCTAGGATTTGTTGTCCAAAAGCAAAACCCATTTTTCTGATATTTGAACAAAGGACTGTCTCCCCAAGCTAGCAATTCTGTTATTCCTTACAATTTTAAATGATTTATCTGTCTGGGTCCTTACCCATGAAGAGCATATGCTTTTCTGCTCAGCCGTTTTTCCACTCTGACTCCTTGCTTGCTGAGACAGTTAAGATTAAAACCATCATGCAATTTTAAATCATCATATATTCCAATTTGTATAATAGTTGATGACACTGAATATCCCAGAAGAATAGCAAAAATATTTTATTAATAACTATAGTAATTCAAATATTTTCTTGTGGTTTATCTTTCCACCAACATGGCATTCTCTACCAAGCTGCTTTCCAAAATATTCATATGCTAATATTTAGATGACACAAAGTCTTGCTTAAAAAGAAGAGTTACAAAATTTGATCCATATTTTGTATTTCTTTTTTCGTTTTCAGAATAAGAATCTACTCTTTGAGAAAATGAAGGGTGGACTGAAAAGGAAGAAAAGGGTAATTTACAAAACACAACTTGATTTCATTTTAGTGCCTTCACATAGGATCATAATGAAGAGTAAAATCAGATTGGTGAAATAACTATAAATAGACATCTACAAATAACCAGAAATAGATCATGTCCAAATTAACATCTGGACATGGTCCATACTTGCAGAAAATACCTGTGATAAGCAAAACCACCTTCACAGAAAGTTCTTCTGTTTAAGCCAGTGTTTCTCTAGCCAAAATGAGGCAAGTAGTTTTTTTTTAATTAAATATTTGTCCTTCCTTTCAGCATCCTTGAGGCTTACCTTTAGAGGGCAGAAGAATAAGCACTGCTTGCCAGCAAAGGAACCCCCACCCCCCAGGCTTTGTATCCATCTTTCACTGTTTAAGAAGGCATTGCCTCTGTTTATCAGGAATGATTAAGTGGCCCAGATCTAACCAATACATAATTGCCTGGCTGACTGATTGATTAATATCCTGCATTTCTTCCTTATGGACCCATGGTGTTGTGCAAGGTTCCCCTTTTTTATGAGATAGGTCAGGCTGAGACACCACAAGTGATTGAATCGGAGTCCTCCAAGTCCTATTTCTGCACTTGATTTGTCATATCATGCCAGTCAAATTGTATAATTCAGAGGGAGACTGACTGTAAGAAGTTGGGGTCAGGACAAAACAGTGGATTTTGTAGAGATGGGGCAAGAATCCTCCTTCATCTCTGACTACTAGAGGCTTTCAGGAGACGTTTGATTTAAAATTCAGTTCATACTAGTAATTATGTCATGGTGTGCTATTTTGAGAATTACTGGTGTAAATGTATAATATATTAGAATATAGTATAGGATGTGTTCCTGGACTCTTTTCCATTCTTAATCATGTTGAAAATATATATTTTTTCAGAGTGTAAATCCGTATCTTCAAGGACAAAGGCTGGACAATGTTGTGGCAAAGAAGTCTGTCCCACATTTTTCAGATGAAGAAAAAGAGACTGGAAACTGAATGAAACTTCACGGAAAGCTCTAATCCTGCTTGTATATAATCAGTGATTTAAATCTCATAGTGGCTGTATGTTTACTGATTATATAATTATCACTTAAGAGCAGCTGGATTTATAATATTTCTTTTTCCTTGAAACATGAAAACCCAATTCTGCTTTTTATTAAGTAATAGTGATAGGATCTTTCTGTTTTCCTGGATCTGAAGCAAACATATGAATAATAATAATAATTTCAACAGTCAAGAGTTAAAATGGCCTTAAGAAGCAAATGAAAAGGAGGGGGATTTTAAACATTTCACATTATTGTATTTATATGCATGTTGTGATGTTTACCTTTCCTGAACAATTATTTCACTGGATTCTGTTAGTAAACAATTACCTAATTAACAATGTATGTTCAGATATTTGCTGTTTATTAAAATAAATACTGGAAGCAGTCTTCTTGCATGGAGATACATATTTGTTTCACAGCCTCTTTTAAAATTTATTATAGGCAAGCTATAAACTTTTCTTTGAACAGGATGGCTTTACAATTCAGTATTTTGGTTGGTTACTGCTGTTCCTTACACTGGCAACAGCATTTGGCTTGTTTTCTGGTGAAACTCCAAGCAGCAGCAGCAGCAGCAGCAGCAGCAGCAGAGGGCTTGTGGCGTGGACAGAGGGGTATGTAAGCCCATGGATCCAATGGCTTTTGAAATGGAAAGGTCAGCAACAGATTCCCTGATTCTTCTTTCTTCTTTTTACCCTGTCAGCCTTTCCCCCCGGCCCCCCTCCCAATCTCAAATGAATAATACATATTAAATAATATAATAATACATATAATATATGTACTATATATATCCTTATGCTTTTTTAAACACATAATGACATGATAGTCCATCAGTAAAGAAACACTGTCTGATACTCCTGGCTTTAATTGATAGTATACATAGCCTAATTACTGGCAATATCAGTTTGTTCTTATCATTTATGTGTACCATCTAAGCCATTGATGTTTTGCAGTGAATTGTAACAAGAACAAATTCTTCCCACCTCAACCACATCCCCATGTCTTTTGTTAATGGCTGTAATCCTGTTTATGTACGTTCCATGGCATAAGACTGATGGTATTATTACCCCTATACATTGGAACTTACATAAACAGGATTTCAGACACTGGGTAAAAATGTTGTTTGCTTTTGTTTTACAGAGGGCAAACAGATCAACACAGAGAAATTAGGAAACAGAAATTTGGTAATATGTATTTAAGCAAAACTCAAATGAGAGAAAACTGAATACATATCATGGTTCTAAAAATACTGATAAGAGCACCATCAGACATCTACTTTTGAAATTTCCAGTTTCCTGAGGACTCTCATTGGCTAAGTAGTCACATGTTTGTAGAGTAAGAAGGAAAAAAAATCTCTGATAGATCAAACCAAGAGTAAATTTTGTTCAGCGTTTTGTATCCTGCAGGGACTCTATACCCAAAATAACTAAATATGGAGTTGCATTCAGCCATCAAATCCAATAGAGGCTATTTAATTTTCCATGACTTCGTATGTCAGTAGTCATTGACAGACTCTGTAAAATATAAGTTCCCTAATGTAAAATTTAGTGTAGTACTTTCTAACTGTCCAGATTTATTGCCTATCCATTTCAATGGCTAACCCCAGCTTGTAATAAATGTCCAATGTCCCCTAAGCAAAATGCCCTCAATTAAAAACCCTTCATTTTTAGTTAGCTTTTCCTTACAAGATGCTCTGGTTCGCCCTTTTGCAGTTTACATACTGTATCCTTTTGAAAGAGGCAAACAGAACTGCATGTAGTATTTGAAATCAGGCTGCGCCATAGAGTTATGGAGAATATTATGGAACTAACTGCTTTCTTTTCAGTCTCTTTACTATTAGTCTGTAGCATAGAATTTCCCCTTTTTGCTTTTCATGCCTACTGAGTCAATGTTTTCTTTAAACTATTGCCCATAAGCTCTATTTTCAGAATTTTGGGGGGTTTGTTTTTAGTGAACACCACAAAGATTAAAGAAAAAAGCGGAGGCTGGTAAGTCAGATATTAGAGGAGTGGACAATTTGCTCAAGGCCTCAATCTGAATTTTATAGAAGCTCTCCAAGGTGTTAAACTCTAGTTCCAAAACAGAATCAGCACTTTGAAATTCAGATTCTAAAACCTGGACTAGAGCCACTGTCACCAGCTTGGAAAACAGTCTTGCAACAGGATTTGTAAAAAGAAAGAAAAAATGTTCATGTCAGCTTTGAATGGTGATGTGAGCAGTATTAAGATGCATGATTATCAAAGACGTAGAGCTCAAGGTAGAGCAAATTGTTCAACACAAAACCAAGAGGATGTGATTTATTCTTTAACTTATATTTAATATTTCGAAGGCAAAACACAGAGGGTGGAAATGAACAGCCTCTTATGCCAGTGTCTTGAATCTATATTCTATTTTGTTCTTATTCTTACAAGTTTTCATAGACTTGTTTCACTTAGCTGTTCCCTCTTTACTAGTTTTCCTGTACCATGTTTTGCCATTGCTAATTCCTGTTCATATGTCATAGTTTACTACACGGGTTGGATCCAGATTTAGTCATGCTTAGAGTTGAGGTACCAATAATACCCTGTAAGTTGGTTCAGAGCTTCAGGCATAGCACAGTTGCTTTGGACTTCTTTGGAAAAGAGTGGACTCTCTCTCTCTCTCTTGCAGTAGCCCACTTCGGCCATGAACTTTGAGCTTTCAGCTTCATATAAAGTAGATGACACCCCAGTAGGCAGGCACTTTAGCTATTTTTCTACTTGGAATTATGGCCAAGCTCATTTGTTTCCAGGAGAGTCAGCAAAAGTGTTCAGCACATCCTTCTCTACTGGCATATTTTCTCTTCTGTACTGGAGTTCTTTAACATACATTGAAGTATCGGCTTGGATTCCACTGCCTTCTATTAATTCACCATGAAAAGGAAGTCTGTAGTAACTCCTCAAGCTTATTTTATTTATGATGGTAACTGCTTTCTAGTGACGAGGTAGTCCCACACTTTAGAGCTATCTGATAGCCATGTGTTCAACACATGGAAGCATTACAAATTTCAAATGATAGTAAATGCCATGGCAGGAACATTAGCAATTACAGCCAACAGAACTTTGAAGATCCTGAACAACTAGTGATGTCTAGCTTTTTCAGCTTTCAGAGAATGAAGGGAAATATGAGGGTGAAAGGTGGTTCCAATCTTGAAAGGTTGGGGTCACTAAAATAATTTTTCCACCACAAAGAGAATAATTGCTTTCTACAGGAACATGGATATTTTACTGCAGTATTACTTCTTCAGCCTTTCCTCCTCTCCAAGAAAAATACAGCAGGGAGTCAGTTGCATGGTGATCTCTGACAATAAAATTAAGATTTATTGGTTAAAGCTGAGGGCACAAAGAAAAAGAGTATCTTGTTTTGATTCTTACCTCAAAGTCAATATCACTGTCATTATCCTATCCTGTCTTCATGACTGATCTTCCCATTCTAGTTGACTAATAAATTGTAAGCAGATGCTACTTTGGAACTTGTCATCTCTCTCTTTTAAATTTACTGCACTTCCAGTGACACAGTAAACAAAGAAGGAATAGTGGATTTGGCTGCTCAAAAGCTGAGCTTAGGAGACTTGAGGTAAATCAGCCAACATAGCCTTTTCTTCATAACCACTGACTCTCCACTATGATTAATTATGCAACCCCAGCTCAAAGTTTATTGTCAGACACTATAGCAAAAACGGAAAAAAAAGCCTTGTGCCATCTAAAAACCTGAATAGTAAATATTATTTGGCATATGATTTTGTGGATGGTAGGCCACGTCTTCAGAGACATGGTGTAAAGTACCTGTAAGCCAACAGTTATGGAAACAAAGGGAGTAAGGAGCCATGAAAGCTAACAGAAATGCAAGAAGTCTCACATGGTCATTGTCTTAAGAATAGTCACTGGGGTCGTTTATAGTCCAGGGGTGGGGTTGGCAAGTGCATTGCTTAAAGTCATTCAAATGTCATTAGTGGGTGATACATTCATCTAAGCACAGATAAGCATATTAATACATGTACTCTGGAGAAAAGTATTTAACCCCAGTATAATGGAAGAGTATGGCTCACATGTATACAGTGAGCCTGGAACTATTATTGGAGAGGGCAAGGGGAATAGGAATGCAAAAATTACAAGCACAAAAATTATCCCAACAGTTATCAGAAAAGATATGACGGTACATACAGGAGGGATAAAGGGGGGAAAGCTGAGCCGAAAAGCGGGATAAAATATGCAGTGAACTTAAAAGTCCCTGTCTATTCAAGTCAAGGGAGAAATTGCTGAACCTCTTGTCCAGCCGCTTCCCATTCAATATGACCTGGACGTTCTTTTGTTCAAAGATGACCACCTTGGCTATTCCTTTGGAAATTTCTGCATCAACAACTATAGCTAGTATGTAATTAGAAAAAGAAAACATATTGGTGTTTCAGCTATGTAACCTTCTCCAAGTGTTGTGTCTCCAGTGAATCAAATGCAAACAGAACCAATCTTATTCGTGAAGGCTTTCACGTCCGGGATCTAATGGTTGTTTTGGGTTAAGAGCCCGAAAAACCCAGAACAACCATTAGAACCAGTCTTAATTCCTGAAAACTACTCACACAAAAAGCAAGCTAATTTGCAACCCATGGGAGATCAGAAAAGCTTGTGGGATGATGATCAGGCAGCTTTCAAAATGCAAGGAATTGCCGCTTCTTACAATAAATTATTAGCAGTGTGTAATCTGGCTTCTTTTACAGTAATTTCATAATGCAGGATTTCAACTGTCCAACAGATAGGTGCCTTTGCTGCTCCAGTGTCACCACTGTTTCTAAGAAAATCCCTCTCAGTACTTTCTTGAGTTCCCAGCCTTTTCTTTCACATCTCACTTCAACATCTATGTATTCAACAAAGTCCTTTGCTTAACCCTTCTGGGCCCTATTGAAACAAAACCTGGGTATGAATAATGGTCAGTGTTTGCACTCATTTGGCAAACCCCTACACTGTGCAATTAGACTTCTTATGAAATGGACTCATTTGGCAAACCCCTACACTGTGCAACTAGACATCTTCTTATGAAATGGGGCTTCTCCTTCCTCTTGCACTATTGTTCCTCTCCAAACTCATCCAAACAGTCTTCCAACCTAAGTTGGAGGAGATCTGGAGAGCTAGTGGTAGGTGTATGAGTCCTACTAACAGGTGGTTTACAGCTGAAGGTCAGGTTAAATAGATACCAGCTCACTTTAGTTACTCTCATCCCTCCTGCTTCCACCTTCTCTTGTTACCCTCTCTTACCCCTTCTATGTTGTTTCCATGGTTTTCTGGAATGGGCGGGATTGGATGATTCTCCTCCCTTCTTGCCATTGCCCTTTGGCTTACCAGTTGGCATTACTTTCCAGAAAGAGAGAAAGCAGGTTTGATGCCAGCTTCAAAA